CGCCGTGAGGGAGGCGGCGGGGTCCCCTCAGGCGGCCGCGGGGGCTGATCTTTGCCCTTTGGGGGTGTGGGGGGGGTGCACTGTTTGCCCCTGCCCAGGCTTTGTGCACGTAGGGTCGGGTTTTCTCCCCCCCATCTCGTAGGGCAGCTGTCGGACTGGGCTGGATCGATGGCCCAGGCTAGGCCTCGCCTTCCTCCCCGTCCTCGGCTGGCGGTGCCAGGGCAGCCCCCGCGCTGCGTAGCGGGCTTATGGGAGCGGGGCTTCCTCTGCGAGCTGCGCTGCGGTTGTTGTTCAGGAAAAACGCTTCTTAAAAACATTATTAATGAAAAAAAACGGGGTGCGGCTGCCTGTTGGCTCAATTTCTAGCTGATGGACTGTAAAACATTGTAAAGAAAGCATTTTGTTCGAGGTATGTTGAGGGTGGGTACTTCTCGGCGGTCGTCTAAGCATTCATTTTTATGCTAATTAAAAAAATAGAAAGCGATCTGCATAGTTAGTGGGTTTAAGCTTAGCACATTTCAGTAGTATTCATCACTGCCAAAGCACTCGGGCTTGAGCTGTGCTCCAAAGATGAGTAACAGCTGAGTTTAAATCCCTTTGCTGCTTTCATGAGGCATGTGGCAGGCTCTCATGTTAGAGGACCGCATTAGGACTGCGGATGAGCTGCCTACCAGAGTATTAGATGTTAAAAAGCCGAAGTGACTGCCCCCTTACAGTTTATCCCTGTCCAAGTGGCGGCAATCATAATGGGAGGATGGAACCTTAATCTTTCTAAAGCAAATGGGACTTCTGTAGAGTAATCCTGGAATTTTATTGACAAGTACATGGTATGTGTCTGTTTAAAACAAATTGGGGTTTCCATCTCACCGATACTAAAAGCTTGGGAAGTGTGGCAGTCTCACTAGATGCTGTACTAAACGAGACATTTGGGTGCCATCTTGACTGCTGATGGACTGTATTTTTGCAGCGTTTCTCCTGCCAGGGGTAAAATTTTCACTTTCTAAAAAGACGACTTCTTAGTAAGGGTGAGTTAGCATAATTTGCTGATTTATGAAACCTGCTGTATCATGGCAGTGGCCTAGAAAACTTATTTAAAATGCATTAATAGAATACCCGTTGCCTGCCCCATTCTTGATTCCCTCCACCAAAGGAGCCGGAATGCAGGTTTTTTTAATGTTTAGTCAAGTAAGCGCAAGACCTCCGTGCTGTTTGTTAAATCTAGTTCTCGTGTTTTGCAGATTCTCTTGATCTGAAGATGGCTGCACAGTCAGCACCGAAGGTTGTGCTAAAGAGCACCACCAAGATGTCTCTGAACGAGCGGTGAGGAAGCCAACAGCAGCTTCAGCTCATAAGAAATTTTTTTACTTAATTATCACTGTCCGGTGTCCAAAAACCAACGTGGTTTCTGCCCTCTTTTAACCTCACTAAAACAAGCAGATGGCTATGCACCTCTGTCTTAAACTGCAACAAATGTGGTACGCAAGGTTAAAAGGGCAAGTGTTTTGGAGAAATTTATCCATAGCAGTTAATATTAAACTATTCAACACATAAATATGGTGGGATGTGTTATAACGAAAGAGAGAAACCTCACACCCTCCCTTTTTCTTCCACATGTTTTTACATTTATATAGTTGACGCTGCAGCGTGGTAGCATGTTACCTAAGCTGCAGCAGGCTTGCTGCTTTGTCCGAGGCAGACACACGTGCATGTGGTCTGGCCTGTAAGAGGCATGCAGCAGGCCATTAAACAAGCCCGAAGGCCCTTTAACAATGTTTTGGGCCTTGTAAGAGGCAAATGCTTTGCTTCATCTCCATCTCTCTCTTTCCTTGATTTCTTTATTTCTTCTGTTTTTCCATGCCATTGAGCTTTTGCGGTTCTACAGTGACAACTAACAGCGGTGCTGCAGTTATGTTTCACTTCCTTACTAATCGCTCTTGGATTAACTATGTTAGTATCATTGAACCAGGGATCAAGGGAGCCATTTGTGTGCAGTTCCTGCTCTAGCGAGTGCTGCGGTGAGCTGTGGCCTGAACCGGTGCTCAGAGCTTACCCCAGGGAAGAGGAGTGGTGAGGTGCAGTGCAGGGAAGGTTTGCTGGCCTGTTTCATTTTGGTCAGTCCATATTCCTCATCTGTAAGTGTTTTCTTTTGCAGTTTTGTGTAGCTCCCGGGACACAGCAGAAAGCTGCTGGGTTGCTGCTAAGGAGGCTTGCCATCTTGCTGTATGTTCTGCTCCTGTATAGCTCTTAAAGACAGAAGGTTCTTTGTGCACCAAAGAAATTGCCCAGTGAACTGTTTTTATAAGTGAGCGCACTTGGGTGGTGGCATTTCTTACGGCACCAGTTCTGTGGTGCGCCAGAGGCACACGGGTCTCTTCTCAGGGCGATGCCTTTTGTAAAGCTGCCTTCTGGCATTGAGCTTTTAAACAGTTTTCTCAGATCTTTGAGGGTTAATTTGGCTTTTGCAGTCATATTTCAGTTTGCTTTTCTGTTTCTGTGATGTCTTCTTCCATCTGTCATGATCATCTCTGCTTATTGCTTGTTTTCATTCCTTCTGCCATTTCTAAAATCAGTAACCTAAAGCTTTATCACTTCTGAATTAATATACAACATCATTTCCGAGTTTCCAGTTCCTGCACACTTGTGGAAAACAAGGAATACATAATCACATATGATGTGACCTAAGTACCACTCTTTACGTAAGGTTCATGGGATCTGGAGATCCAATCTTGAGAACCATGAAATGCCAATAAATGTATGTAATAAAGCTTTATTTAAACACCCATTTTATTCGACCTTGAAGCTTTACTAACATGCTGAAGAACAAACAGCCGATGCCAGTGAATATTCGGGCTACCATGCAGCAGCAGCAGCAGCTAGCCAGTGCCAGAAACAGAAGACTGGCCCAGCAGATGGAGAACAGACCTTCTGTCCAGGCTGCTTTGAAGCTTAAACAGGTGAGAGAAAGTGGCGTATTCCGGGGCAGCCCGTTGATGCCTGTCACCAGCAGATGGCTTATCGGGATATGGTGGATTTTGAAAAATGCTCCTGAGAGTTAAAAATGAGAGATCTAGAAGGGACTTGCAGAAAATCCCACTTTTTACTTCAGATAAGTAATCCTTTGTAACTTCCTGGTTAATGTTACTGAGTTGGGGGTGGGGATGTGCTGGCTGTTCATATCTCCTCTCTATTTTTTCAGAGAAATGTTCTCATTCTGGGTTTCTGGATCTGCCGAGTGCTTCATCTCGCAATCTAGCTGCAGTTACAATTGCTGCAGATTGTTTCCAGTACTTACTATCCAGTTGAGGCTGGTTGCTCCCATCCCCAACTCTACCCTCTCTTGGTCCTCTCCCTTGATAGCAGCTGGCTGCGAGGAACAGATGAACAAACTGATTTTTTGATTGCTTGCGAATGCTAGAACGTGGGCCTGGATTTAAGGCGTAGTGTTGCGTTCTCCTCATATAAAGAGTCTCTTTATCGTTTCACATCTCAGTGATGAGTACTACAGATGACGGTGTGTTCCTCAAATTGCCTTCTGTTGGTAGAGCAGAAAACCTAAGCAAACATGCTAGATTTTGATTTCTCCGCTGCAGTCAATGTGCTTCTCCATAACTCTGGACTTACGGAAGGGGCAGGGGGCAAAATCTAGCTACGACAGAAACCTCAATAACATACAGAAGGGAGCTGTTTGTCTAGGGCCTGCTCACTGTCAGACTGTAGGGGCTTTTGCAAGTTTTAAAGCTTATGTTTAAATGGGAAGGCTGGTAAGATTAGCTTAAAATGTATGTGTAAGGCACAAATTGAAACCTGTGGGGTAGTGCTACACAGCTGTGCAGCGAGTTCAAATGACGGCACTGCATGACTTGGCTACAGCAGTAGTTAAACATAATTCTGTGCGTTATCTCGCACTTGAGGAGAAAGCCCTGGCAATTTCTTAGCTGAGCTGCCTCACCAAATAGCTGGAATACTTAAACCTGCCACACATGCTAACATTCGGGGCTCACTCTCTGATAAAGAGGAATGCAGCTGCTTTTTAAGATCTCTTGAGACTTCTGTTGTAAAAACAGACTGTGGTGCCAGTTAGCCTCGCAGAGCTTGTAAACAAAAGCTCTGGAAGTGGTAGTCTAAATTGTTTTCTGCTTAAAATAAAAAAAGCTTGAAGAGTTAAGAATTTCACAAGTGGTAAGTGAAACTGGGTTGAAAACAAGAAGTTTCTGCTTGCTGAATTGAGGTGCCACGGAGGAACAGGGAAGAACTGGTCTTTTGGCTTCGCTCTTAAACCCGTTTGATTTTTATGTTGGGCATAGGTGTACTTTCATGGTCTTCTGGAATCAAATGCTGCAAGGGAGGGCCCACGGAAGGGCGTTGTAGGGAAATTGGGAAACCTGGTTTATGTTGGGTTGCTCTTCGAAGATTGCAAGTTGCTCTGGAAGTTGATGTGGTGACTGGATTTTCACAAGTACTATACTTGGTATCACCAGGAGCTTTTCTGATCCTTCTGGATGTGCTGGGGAGCATTGATCCCAGTGATGGCTCACCTGTGCTTCAGAAAGGACTTCCCTAAACTCCTGCGGAGCACTGCTTGTGCTAGATTCACGGGTTTGTGTTTTGCATCCTCTGCATCTGAGTGCACAAGTGTTTACGTAAACCTGCTGTGCTTTTTTTAATGTAAAAAACATCTGTACTGACTGTGGTTCTAGCCGTGCATTTACTTAGTAGCTGGAGCAGACCAAGGTGCTACCCGAGGTAGAGCAGAAGGGCGAGCACTCTTAGGCTGTCTCAGTGCAAAGTCCAGCAGCTTATCTTAAACTCTCATGGTAAGTGACATAAACGAATAATTGGGTGTGGAACATACACATGCTTTCTCATTCCTTTCTGCCAGCGTGGCTGGGCAAAAGAGAGAGCCTAATATTTTAGGCTGCTATGGCTGTTGGAAAAATGATTGACTATCTAAACTCTGAGGCAGTAAAACTTGAAATCTTACTACAGCTACAGAAGAGACTGATTTTAGAGGAACGAATTCAGCTGTCCGCAAACTTGGGTCAAGTAGATAAGCAATAACTTTAAGCAACTCTTGGAACCTGTAGTAAAATGCAGCCTTTATGGCTGCTCCCATCACCTTACCTTCTTAGGGCCAAGAGCTCTTGTTCCTGAGACAAGTGTGAAGGTTCCCACTGTTGCTTCTTAGCTCCTTGTAGGGTTCAGCAGTGCCTACAGAAGCTCTAGCCTGCTCTGTGGGGACCGAATTGGTACCAGTGCGTGTTAACAACACTGGGATGTAAATTGGCTGTTCAGCTGTTGCTTCATGAGCAGTTGAGCCGTCTCTGCAGCAGTTCTGGCATAGGCATTTGAGGACAGGAGCTGCTACGGCTGGCCCGAGGGAAGCCAGCTCTGTCTGTGAAATGGAGTCTGGTGGCTGGACATATGACATGGGGGGGGGGGGGGGGCGGGGGGGGGGGGGAGGGGAACCACTTCAAAAGCCAGATACACAAAGATGACTATTTTGCTGTTGTTCTGGTGAGGGTAAATTTTATTCAGTATCGTTTTCTTTTCGTAGCATAGATGGAAAAGCTGGTGCTTTTCCTAGCTGTTGCCTTAGTCTGTGTGGAAGCCTAGCCAGGATGGGGCAGTAGGAATGATATCCGTGGCATGTGGCTCCACAGATGTCGCTTGCTCTGCGGAGGTAGGTTAGGCTTGTGCCACAGCAGGGGTAGTTGCTTTCTATCTCGGGGATTTGCTTGGACTGCCACCTTCCAGCAGGAAGGATTAGTGGGCTGCCTTGTGGATTAAGTGTCTGCTTTGATTTGGACTGAGCAGCACTGCTAAAAACGGAGAAAAATATTTCCTTCCAAATCTGCAAACTTTCTTGTCTCTGTACAAACACTTGCTTCCAGGAAAGGGCTCTGTTCTCTGTCTGACCTTCACAAATTATCCCTCCCAAAGCAGATTTGATTGTCTTCCTTTGAAGCTTGATTATATACTGCAGAGAGCTGGTGACCCTCTTTTTTTTTTTCTTTAAAAAAAAAAAAAAACCACCACACTACTTTTATTGATAGGCGATTGCTATGCTGTTTGTGTTGCAAGTCTGAGATTGCTGCATGACTTTCTTGTTTCCTAAAAATCTTCTATTCCAGAAGAGCTTAAAGCAACGCCTCGGTAAAAGTAACATTCAGGCACGATTAGGCCGGCCGGCGGGACCCCTTGCTCGCGGAGCCATGGGAGGAAGAGGATTGTCTATGGGGCAGAGAGGCTTGCCACGAGGAGCCATGCGCGGTGGCCGGGGAGCAAGAGCTCTGCTGAGAGGAGGAGTCCCACTCAGAGGTCAGTACTGTGGCTGAACTGGAGTTGCTTACGTGTCAGCACCGCTGTCTTTTTGACAGCGTGACTCCGATTCTGTCGCTCGGCCTGAAAACTTAATTTCTTTCTGATTTGAATTCCCTTTCTCTACTGAAGGTCAGAGCCTGCTTCGTGGAGGACGAGGTATATCCCCCAGGATGGGCCTGAGAAGAGGTGGCATTAGAGGTCGCGGTGGCCCTGGAAGAGGTGGTCTAGGCAGGGGTGCCATGGGCCGTGGAGGACTTGGTGGCAGAGGTTAGTGTGCACAAACTTCAGGAGCGACACGCTGCTGCTGCATAAGTAGAAGTAAGCTTTAATTCTCTTTCCTGTTTAAGGCTAGCATGCGTAAGTACATGCAGCCCCCAAACCCCTCTCTTTTTGAATTGGTGTACGGCATAGTGCTAAATTAAGGCTCCCTTTCCTGAAATGTCTTGCCAGGCCTTAACGCCTCGCCAAGATCCTTGACTGTGTCAGTGTAGAGAGGGTTCTGGGGGCTCTCGGTGAAGCTGTCCGCTCCTGCAGGTTATCACTGGCTGGGTGGTGCTTTGAATAGTAGTCGAGGCAGTAAGTAATCTTCCAGCGTATCAAGGAAGACTGCACTTAAGGAGGAGATGATCTAGAGCCTGTGTAAAACCAAGAGACTCTCAAAATAATTAGCGAGGGGAAAAATTTAACAGAAGAGAAAGCCTAAACCCCTGCAAAATCTAAATTCAACGTCTGAAACTGAGTCAAGTCTTGGGTAAATGAACTCTCTTGTTTTCAACAACAAATCAGAGAAGCAGTAAAGCAGGAGCGCGAGAGGAAGTAGAGGAGACAGCTGTTGATGGTAGGGTTGTTAATGTTTCAGGCAGATGTTTGCTTAGAACATCAGCCAAACGTGCTCTCATGTTACTTTGGGATTGGCCCAGTGTTTGCAGGAGTTAGAGCAGACAGTTACGGGGAAGCTGCATATCTCTTGACAGCCTTGGCTTGTAGCTTTAGCTTTATTTCTTAGCCTGACAAACAAATACTGATCGATGTGGGCTCTCGGGTATCCTACTTCTGAAGTAGTCTGAAAACCTCTCAGTTTGAAGTACTTGTCTGTAAGCAAAAATTTGCTTGTGATGGTTAATGGCGTTGCCGCTTTGCCAGAAAGCTTCAGCCTGTGCCAGAGGTGTGCGGGATCTCGGGGCACGCTCCATGGGAGAGAAGTATGCAACGCGTAGGTGGGGCTGGAGCACAAGCAGGGGAGATGGGAGCCTTAGCTAAGAGCGTAGGATCGGATGTCTGGGCTTCTGGACTGAAACAGAAGCAGCCTGGGGAGCTAATCCGGCACGGCAGAACCTGACCTGCTGCGGGAGCTGGAGGTCGGCTGAGGGGTAGCTGCTGCAGGGCTTCCTCGTGGAGGTGCTGAAGCAGCTCTGCCGAGTGCGCTGTGTCGTCCGGGCTCTTCCCGGGGAGCGGCAGCCGCGGCAAACCCCGAAGCTCGGCCTGGTGGAGTGTGTAACCGTCCTCTTGTCTCACTGCAAGGTCGCGGCATGGCGGGCCGGGGACGAGGGGGCTTTGGAGGTCGCGGCAGAGGACGAGGACGAGGAAGAGGATCGGCACGTCCTGCATTGACCAAGGAGCAGCTGGACAACCAGTTAGATGCTTACATGTCTAAAACGAAAGGACACCTCGATGCTGAGCTGGATGCTTACATGGCTCAGACAGACCCGGAAACAAACGACTGAAGGTCGTTCCGAGAGACTGTTGTTGAAGTTAGTGTGTTATGTCAATGCCCGTAAGCTAAAAATGGAAACCCTGATTCATGCTGGAAGGACCCGCAGGAATAGGGAGCGGCCCTGTTCTACCGAGAGATCAGACTTTAGTGTGTTCCTTTAAAGTTTTGATACTATCTGTTGTATGAAACCTTTTTTGGGATTGGTTTTTTTATCTTCTTTTTTTTTTCTTTCCCCGAGTACTCCAAACACGAATGTGACAGATCTGCAGCAGTTAATCCGCTGACGTCGGCGCTGGTGACTCGCCGTGCCCGTGCAGCGCAGCATGGCGTGCACGCCGCCCGCGCTGCCGTAGGTGAAGCGCTCGTCGGCGCTGGGATCGCGTGCTTTTGTGCCTCTTGAGCTCCGCGGTTGCGTTTTGGGATTGGCCCTGTCCCCAAGCGTGACCGAAGGGCCGAGTTCACACCCGCGGTTCCATTTAACCCCTCTGAAGCAAAAAGAAAAACCACCTCCCAGCAGGGTGAACAGTCAGGCCAGGTTTAGGTGTAGCGCTCCTTCTAGACGCGCCAATTTTCTTGTTTCGCCCCAAAACTTCCTCTTCTGTCAGTAGCCAGCGTTCTGTTAATGCCTAGTGCAGAGCACTCCCCAGGTTGAAAACTTCCTTGGGTTTGGGGTTGGGTTTTTTTTGTTTGTTTTTCGATAAAGTTTGAATTTCTTTTGCGTCGTCTTTGAACAGGTGACACCAGGGGTTTCTGTATCTGCAAGAAAACAAGTGTTTTTGTTTAAAGGAATTGGAAGCAGGAACATAAAATTACAGCCGTGAGGGCAAAGTGCGGTAGAACTGTCTCTTAAAACAGGGGGTCCAAAATTCATCTGTAACCTTTCGGTGTAACCAAAACTGCCTGCACTTACCCCGATGGGTTTGGGAAGGGGTCTGTTCCTCCCCCTCTCCTCAAGTTTTAAGTTCAGCCATTCTGTGAACTGTTCCAGTTTCAATGGAATCTTGTATTTCTGTTTTGTTGTAACAAAGGAGAAATAATTATAAAAGCAATGTGGACTCTGGGTGGTTTTGTTTGTTTTTCTTCCTGGCAATGGGCTTTTTCTGCTCCTGCTCTGCCGTGCTCTGGGGGTAAATTTGCTTTGCAGGGGGTGGAAGGAAGCCGAGGGAAGGCTGTGTCCTCTGTCGCCAGAGGAGTCGGACCTCGCCGCGGACCCTCTGGCCGCCTCGGGGCGGGAAACCTCCCGGGTGGGGAGCGGTCACGGTCAGCTCGCTGCCTCCGCGATCCAGGCCTGGGGCTGAGGATGCTGAGGCTGCCCCTGGCTTTTCCATCCCCGGCCCTCCCAGCGGGAAGCCACCCCTTTCCCCGGGCTGCCCCGCTGCAACG